GGATGGATGGGTGGATGGGTGGGGGATGGATGGGTGGATGGGTGGGTGGATGGATGGGTGGGTGATGGGTGGAGGGTGGGGGATGGATGGATGGGTGATGGGTGGATGGGTGGGTGATGGATGGGTGGATGGGTGGGTGGGTGGATGGGTGATGGGTGGATGGGTGGGTGGATGATGGATGGATGGGTGGGTGATGGAAGGGTGGACGGGTGGGTGGGTGGATGGGTGGGTGGGTGGATGGGTGACAAATGATGGATGGATGGATGGGTGGATGGGTCGGGGATGGATGGATGGATGGATGGGTGATGGGTGGATGGATGGATGGGTGGATGATGGATGATGGATGGATGGGTAGATGAATACTGAGCCAAGGAAGAACTTCGTGCTTGCTTTGGTCCATGCTCCTTCTACTTTTTTCTTTTTCCTTTGTGCATATGTGTGTTTTGCCTGCATGTATGCCTGGAGTCACAGATGGTTCTAAGCTGCCGTGTGGGTGCCAGGAACCGAACCCAGGTCCTCCGGACGAGCAGCCATCTCTGCAGTACTTCCTCCGCTTATCACACTCACCCGGGGCCTCTGGCGCTGCCTGGGTCTCAGGAGAGGCCTCTGGTTTCTCTGCAGGTTGGGGTTTCAGTTTGGTGGGTGCTTTGACTTTTGGCCAAGTTCCTGTGTTAGGCAACTTGGCAGTCCCGCCGTGAGGAGCACCCTGGCCATCCTCCCCTGGGCTGGGGGCTGGCTCCTTCCCCACGGCGTCCCGTGGCAGGGTTCTATAGGTGGCTGAGAAGCCGTCTGCAGTGACACTGAGATCCGATACAAACTGGACCAGGAGCTCATTCCCTTCGGAGATGATGGGGCTGCAATGGGCAGAGGAGCATTTGCCGAGGTGTCACGGCAAACTGAGCCCCTGTTCGGTCCCTCGCTAGCCAAGCTTCAACTAACATCAAACTCCAAAGGCTACAGTAAACCTCTGCCAGGTCCCATCCTTGTTCTGAGCTCCCCCAAATCCTGTAAGGCCTTTGGCAGCTCTTCTCACAGGTAGAAGTTAGCCCCAACTCCTGCCACCCAGGCACCCAGCCCTCACCTGGGGGCCTTGTCTCCGCAAAATTTCCCCAGCCTCTTGGCGTCGTCGCTCACAGCCCCGTTGAACACACTGACGGAGTCGTAGCGGCAGTACGTGTCCGGCTCCACGTCAAACTTCCCGAAGGTGAGCGTGACCACCTGGCGGAGCAGTGGCTAGCAGGCCAGGCCAGGGCGGCCCGGACTGTGCCCTGCACCTTGTCCAGCCCAGCCCACTGTGAGCCCTCATTCCCTTTAATGTTTGCACACTGCTAGCCTGAGGGTCTCACACGTGACCACGCCCTATAGGTGTCATCCTGGTGGGCTCGGTCAAGCCCATCTTGCTCACGCAGTGGACAGCTCCACGCACGGGCCCTGCACTTCCCTCTCCTAAGGCCAGTCAGCTGCACATCTGTGGCCTCTGCCGGCCGCCAGCCAGCTTAGGGCTCAGAGTACAGACCTTCAGAGAGGCTTTCCTGGCTGTGTGCCTTGGCCGCCTGGGCGCCTGCTGGGCAGTACCTGGTTTGAGGGTGCAATGATGTGCCAGGAGCAGCTGATGCCCGGGGGGTAATCCGACTCAGGCCAGTTGGGCGTGGTCAGGGTTCCCTGTGCCTTCTCCATCCGCCCCCCGCAAAACTGGTGCTCTGAGGAGGGAAGAGAGGGGCGGGTGGGGCAGTGGAGACCGTCAGCTGGAGGAGGGCTCCAGACCGGAGCTGGCGGGCAGCTGGGGAACCCAGCAGAGAGGAGCGGCCGGGGGGGTCCCGCCTGGCCCCCCCTCGCCCCGCCACACCCGCCTCTTCCCCTAGGAGATCCCATCTCCGTCCCGGCTAGGCACAAGATCCCCGCGAGCAGGCTCGGGCGCTCACGCTGTGAGGGTGCCCTCCCCTCTGGTGAGGTCTGAAACGTTTCCAGAGGCTTGTGCTGCCGGGAGGGGGGATGGGACCGCAATCGGGATCCCAGAGCTGGGTCCCCCAGCTTCCGTCACGGAGCCCGATTGCGGAGGGGGCGGGCAGTTACTCACCGTCCCAGTAACCCCAGGCCGCCCATTCCACCCGCGGGTCCATGACCCATTTCCGCCTCGCACCTGGGGGAGGCCCTGGAAGAGGGGCGGGTGGGGCGGGAGGGGGAGAGAAGACCGGGAGCAGGGACTGAAGGGGCGGTTAGTGAGAAGAAAGGGAGAACGTGGCCTAACTCTTGGGGGGGGCTCTGGGGAGGGTCGAGGTTAGGGCAGGGGGCACTGAGCCGGGGCGGGGCCGGGATTGCTTAAAGAGCAGCCAGGGTGCTCACCGGCGCCTGACGTGGCCCGACCGCTGTACCAGAGCAGGAAGCCTCGGCCCCCGGTGCCCTCGTCCGTGGTCATCCTTAAAGTCACCTGGTTGCCGGGGGCGACTACAGGTGCAGGCCTGAAGGTGCCGCAGAAGCGGCCAAGTCTCTGGCCTGAGGTCCCAGAGCCAGCAAAGACCTCCAGAGCATCATAGCGGCAGGAAGGGTGGAGCTCCATATCGAAGACCCGGAAGGACAGGGACACAGTCTGGCCCTCAGGCACCTGACACGGGGAACAGAGGGGCGCAAAATCAGGCCCTGACAGTGGGCATCGCCCTCCCCAAGCACCTTCTAGACAAACAGTCACAACTGGAAAGGCCTAGGCTCTGCGCCTGGTTTATGGCCTCTGGACGGGAAGAGCAGGAGTGAATCGGGGGTGGGCTCTCAGCAATTATCTCCATGAAACACCTAAGGCCTAGACCAGGCGTGGTGGCTCACACCTGGAATCCCAGGACTTACGGTGCCGAAGGAGAATCACCTCAAAGCTCAAGGCCAGCCTGAGCTACACAGGAAGGCCCTTTCCCCAAAAACCCGAAGACGTACGGCTCAGCACCAGGGCTGGCGGCACCTGCTTGTCCTTCTGCTGTTTGGGAGACTGATCAAAGCCCACAATTTCCAGAGACCACGTCAGGGATTTGTGGAGATGGGCAGCGGGTCAGGACGCTTGTTCAAGCTCAAACCCCAGAGACCATCGACAAGGCTGCATTGAAAATCTCCACACGCGCCTCTCCCTACCCCTGGGGGGCGGGGCAGACAGGAGGGTCACGGGCTCGCAGGCCTTCCGAAGGGCTCTCCTTTAGTGACAGGCTCTGTCTCAGGGAAACGATGGAGAGTGGCGCAACTCTAGAACCCCAGTGCTCCAAGCCCACTCGGCACGTGGGCTTGCACACCCGTGCAGCACGCACGAACACGCACACACACAGGACCTCAGCACATGGGCATACGCACACACGCGCACACACACACACACACGACCTCAGTACATGGGCATGCACACGCGCACACACACACACACACACGCGCACACACAGGACCTCAGCACATGGGCATACGCACGCACGCACGCACGCACGCACACGCACACACGCACACCCTGGATGAATGAGAGGCTGGGATGTCTCTAGACCCTCAGTGGTGCAGTAGTCCTGCCCTGGCTGGCCCAAGCCCTAGGGGGCAGCATCCAGCTGTGGGGTTAGACAAAGGGGAACAAGGTCGGGGTTTGTCAGAGCACGTCACTGGGGGGCCTGGCCCCCTTGTGACCAAAGGGGAGGGGAGGGTTACCCTGAGGTGATGCCTGGCGGTGGGAGCACATCCCTGAGCTTTCAGGGTCTGCTTGAGAGACTGATGAAGCCCAGTGGCGAACAGAGGGCCTTCTTACCGTTATTGTCCAGATGCACTTCTTATTTGGGGGGTAGAGGTTAGGGAAACCCTCACTTCCCACGTAACCCGACTCCCCGGTCACGTCACCTCCACACAGGAACACAGGCCTGGAGGGCAGAGGCGGTGTCAGGCTGAAAGAGCCTCAGCCTGTGGGGCCTGTCCAAGGACCATGGAAAGCCATTTCCATCCCCCAGAGGCCCCACTCCCTCGCCAGCCGCCAGCCGGCAGGAATTCCCGGAATCCTCCTCAGTCCCCCTAGCTTTTCTCTAACCCCCCTCCTTGTCCTGCCTGGCAGTCCGGGGACAGGAGCCTCGCCTAACTACTTCCAGATGTGACAAGCCACGAGGCCATGAGGGGGAGGGGCCAGAGAGCCGAGGGGAGCAACAGAGGCAGCCCGTTAGGGCTGCCACCTTTGCCCTTCGCCGCCCCACTAAGGACCAGCTTCTTTCTGCCTGCTCCCCTCCCCCATTTCCTGAATGTCAGCTAACAGACAAGTTCAAGGTCTTGGCCTTCTGGGTCCGGCTCTAAGTGCAGAGGGAGGTTTAGGCAGAAGAGCAGGAGTGGAGGAAGGGGAGCAGATGGCTGCGGCCAGCGTGTCCCGCAGCAGGCAGGGAGGGGGGATCTGAAGAGGAGGGATGGGAGCAGGGAGCGGGACCCAGGCACAGCCCCCCCCCTCCCCCAGGAGCTGCAAACAAACGTTCTGAAGCTCCTCTGGAAGCCGTCTGAAAGGCATGGGACCTACCTGGTGTAGTTGGGCGTCTGGGCCCCGGCAGGAGGCAGCACCCAGGCCACAAGGAATGGCCCCAGAAGGGAGGCAAGGGCTGCAGGCAGCATTGTGCAGGGGGAGTGCTGGAAGCAGCAGCAGCAGCAGCAGCAGCAGGATAATCGGTACCAGCTGAGGCAGCCCTGGGTGTGTGGGCGTGGGGACCGGCCAACTGGGCGGGCGGCAGGGGAGGCGGGACAGGGAGACAGCTGGGATGGTGTTGAGTCCCTACGGGGCCTCTCTAGGTCGTGGACATAGATCAAGTGACCGAAGAACCCTGGGAGCAACGCGTGACGTCATCGCAATCCACTGTCCTGGGCCTAAGGACGGGGTCTTTTGTGTGGCCCTCAGGAGGCCTGGACCTCTTCACCTGTCACTCTCAGCATCCAGGGGGCTGTCCTTGAGCCGTTTGGCCGTCCACCATCCCACAGCTCATTTCTGGAAGTCTTGCTGTGAAGCCCTGGCTAGCCGGAGCTTTCCATCCTCCTGCCTCAGCTTCCCAAGTGCTGGGAGTACAGGCCTGCAAGCCTTACCCAGGATCTTCTGCACATAATCATGGCTTTCCCTTTAACAAGGACCAGATCAGGCCAAGGAAGGGGCGTTCTGACCCCTGATTTTCTCTTCCAACTATTGTAAGGTATAGGAGGAGAGTTAATGGGGACCTGGAGTAGCCCTGTCCTTGGGCAGGAGACCGGGCGTGGAGGCCAGGAGGGAGAGAACAGGGCCAGATCTCACGGGGCCGAGGGCTAGGGGCGAGGTACCCCCGGTGAGGGTTAGACCACTGGTCTGGTGCAGGTGTGGGGCAGCACACTGGAATCCTAGCTCTCTGGATGTGGGGTCAGTGCGATTAAAGAGGTCAGGCCGGACCACACAGCGAGGCTCTGTCACACCAGACCAGGCCTGACCTCACCTCAGACGGGCTGAAGGGAGGCTTCTGGAGTGAGAAGCAGAAGGTGAGCTGGGGTGTGGCACTTGACTTTCCTCCCTCACCAGCCAGGCTCCCCTCCATTCCTTGCCCCTAGTCCCCCATAAGGCCCCAGGGCTTCGAAACAGGCCTTGCTTTAGCCTTTTATTCTACTGTCCATCAAATTTCCTGCCCATGATAGTGGGGTCGGGGGCCCCTCCTGGGCAGCCCCCTGCACATTATAGAGAGTTCCCTACGCTACCTCGCCATGTCCAGCACTGCTCCGTGCCACCCGCCCCACCCCCACCCCCGTACACACAGTCTTCTTTGTCACTCCGGCTCTCCTCAGCCCTAGCCCAGGGCCTGACCTCCTCAGGAGTAGAGGCGAGGGGGAGGGGTCAGCTCTCAGAGGCCGAGGTGCCTGGACCGCCCGCACCCGCAGCCCTCTGCAGCATGTCCAGCGCGGCCCAGAAGAAATCCTTCTGGGCAGCCATCAAGGGCATCCAGCCCACAATCTCCTTCATCTTCGCCATCCGGTCCTGCAGCGTGGGGCAGCTGTGGATCTGGCTGAGGTACTCCTCACAGGCCTGGGCTGTCCCCCCAGGGTCTTGGGGGGCTCCAGCCGCCTGGCTGGGCTCCGGGCTTCCCGAGGCCCTGCTGGCTGGCAGGTCTCGGTAGGCCGGGCACCGCTCGATGTCGTAGCTGGACAGCATGTACAGACACTCTCTGGTGGAGCAGAGGGAGCAGGCACACAGGGGGACCTTAGAGGAGAGGGGAGGGGTGAGCGAGGCTTGACACCGCCGGGGCCTGCCCAGGTGCCCCCGAAGCCTGCTGCTATGCTGAGCCCTCTCAGACAGGCCCTGAACCAGCGAGCGAGCTTCAGCTTGCTTCGTTCCAGGACCATGTGACCCTAAGTCAGGTCATGTGACCCTAGGGTCAGCTAAGGAGAGAGCAGTGTGGGAATTGCAGGGTCCAGGCGAAGCCGAGCTAAGGGTCCCTGGCAGGGGTCCTGGCTATAGGCCAGGCAGGGGGACACAGGAAAGCCAGGGGAATCCAGAGGTTAGGACCAGCCTGGGCTACACCGTGAGACCCTGCTGGAAGAGGGGTCCACTGAGATGGTTCAGCTTGTGGCCAAGCTCTGTGGCCAGCTCAGGGAGGGGAGAAGTGACCATCAGTCCTCTGCCTCCACAGGCACACGTTTTTAGAAACACTTTTACAGACTCTTCGAGAAGCCAGGCCTCATGATACTCCTGGGGCCACCTGGGCCGTTGCTCCACCCTCCCGGGTGCCGCTGGCCTGGCCCTGCTCTGACCTTGATCTGCAGCTTGACAAAGGAGGCACTCCCCTTCGGCCAGCCAGGAAGGCGGCCTCCGGCCCCACAGCCGCACCCCAGCAGCTCCTTGCTGAAATCCGAGGTCTGACTCAGCACCAAGGAATGGTTGAGGCCACACCACAGGGCAATGGGGCGTTGCAAATAATGAACCTGAGGACAGAGAGACAACATAGCCAGATGCTTTAATACTAGAGGATGGGGGCTGTGGAAGGCTTGGGGCAGAGTGCAGTCTTAGGAGTTGGAAAAGAGGGTCCTGTCTCCGAAGGCCTGCCCTGCTCTGCAGGCTGACAGCTATCTGTCCCTTCCTGTACCCACAAAGCCCCGCCCCCAAGACTGACTCCAAGGGTTCTGGCACCTGGTAAAAACTTTGTCTCTTGCTCCTCAGGAAATCTACACTTCCTTAAGACCTACTGGCCTCTTCTGGCCTCCCTGGGAGCCTGCACGCTTTTGTATGCACACACATAGTAAAAATCTGCAATCACAAAATACCAGCAAGTAATTGAACAGTCAGCCAGAGGAGTAAAGTGAGTTCCAGCCCAAACAGGCTACACAGTGGGAGTCTGTCTCAGAAACCAAGCTGGAGAGCCCACCACTGAGCACTGACTTGTCGGGCTCATCCGTGGGTGCCGGCACTGCGCAGCTGGGCGTGCCTGTGGAGTGGCCAGAGGGCCGCCTTGGCTGCTGTCCCGAGGCACCGTCCCCCTGGCTTCTCTGTGAGCTGCAGGGGCCTCCCTGCCTCCCCACCGCTGGGCCTATAATCCCACAGGGCTCTGCCTGGCTCCCCTACCACCGAGTTTCCTGTGTCCTCAACTAATGTGTCACTCCATTTCGTGACGGAGACTCGATACCCAGTCAGTGTAGTGCAGGCTGGCCTTGAATATAGCTTTTCCGCTACCTTCGGGTCTGGATAGATGCACGTGCTTTTAATAAAGTGTTTGTTCTTTATTACATTTGTGTGAGCCACAGCACACAAGTGAAGGTCAGGGACAACGTCTGCTCATCACTTTTCTCTGTCTACCGTGCGGATGCCGGGGACTGAACTCAGATCAGCAGGCTTGGTTGCAGTTACTGGAGGAACCTCACCACAGCTCAGATTGTTTTGGGATGGGGTCCTGTGGTGGTTTCAGTGGGAGCGGCCCCTATAGGCTCACAGATTTGACTGCTTAGTCACCAGGGCGTGGTGAGAAGGATTAGAGATTAAAGGGTGTGGCCTCGGAGGAAGTGTGTTGTTAGGGGCGGGCTTTGTGGTTTCAAAAGTCCATGCCAGGCCTACACGCTCTCTTCCCCCACCCCCCACTCCCCTCTCTCTTAATGCTCCAGCGCCATGCCTGTCTGCTTCCCGCCCTGACGATCATGAACCAATACTTCCAAACTAAGCAAGCTCCCAACTGAATGCTTTCTTTTTTTCTAATTTGCCTTGGCCATGGTATGTCTTCATGGAAGAGAAAGAACAGCAAGTGAGACAGGCCACAGGTAGCCTGGCTGGCCTAGAATTCACTCTGACGCTGAGCATGATCTTCACCTTATCCCCCTGCCTCACACCACACGCTGGGGTGACAGGCACACACCACTCTGCCTGGTTTTGGTGAGGCTCTAGGGTCCCATGCTTGCTAGGTAAGCACGTTACGCACCGAACCCTGGCGGCCATCTCCTCTCGTTCCTCTGTGACAGGACAGATGCTGCCGTCTGCCACTCTGTCTCACGCTTTGTTGTTTCAGCCTGGAACCGATCGCCATATAGACATTTCCGGTTCGGTGTTTCACTCTCATTGCAAAAGGTCTAAATGTGCATGCTTTATTCCTCCTCTTTAAACCAGTCATTTTCCCGTGTATCTGTTTGCTTCCCCTAAAGCATCTAGTGCTATGGATCTTCTCTTCTATTCTTGCCGCCACAAACCCGCCAGAGCCTGTCTCAAGTGCGCCCCTCCACGGGTGTCCTGGTGGGCTTTGTGTTCTTGGCCTCCTGTGCACTTACAGCAGCTGCCTGCCTCTGTCACCTTGGTGGCTGCCAGCTGCTCTGCGACCTGCGGATTCTGCAACGCCTCCTTTCCACAGGGCTCTGCCCGAGCTGGCATCCCCGGAGACGGGCCTGTCGCCCAGGGTTGCCAGTGCACCTCCTCTGCTCTCTCCTACCAGCCTTTCCTCCTCTCGGCTCACCACCCTCTTGTTGAGGCTGCTTCCTAAACCCGAGGCCGGCCTTGAGCTTCCTATGAAGCTAAATGACCTACTGTGAAGATTACAGGCATCAAGTGGGATGATGGCGGCACAGGCCTTTAATCCCAGCACTTGGGAGGCAGAAGCAGGCAGATCTCGGAGTTTGAAGCCAGCCTGGTCTACAGAGCAAGTTCCAAGACAGGAAAGGCTACACAGAGAAACCGTGTCAACCATGAGGCTGGTCGGCCTTTTTACTGTCTTCTGTGTCAGCTCCATCATTGTCCTCATGGACTGCTCTTCCTATTCCCACCTGAACCCTCTCAAACCCACAGAGCTGCCACTTCCTTACCTTACATATGTGCTATTGAGGCCAGAGGTCAATGCTGAGACTCTTCTTCACTTGCCCTCCCCCTTGTTGATTTTTTATATTTATTTTTTTTTTAGGCAGGGTCTCTCACTGAACCGAGAGCTCACCGACTGGCTCGACTCAGCCTGTGAGTCCCCAGGACCACTCTGTCTCCCCTCAGGTGCTGACAGCCATGTCCAGCTTTTCACAAGGGCCCTGGGGATCTGAACTGGGTCATGACAAGCACTTTTTTCTGAGCTGTGGTCTCCGGCTGCCCCTCGGCTTCTCTAGTCCCCCACCCCACTCTTCATCCAGTCCTTTCTGCGCACGCAGTGTGCACCTTATGGAGCAGGCCCCGGGGAAGACCTGCAGCACACACACACACACACTCACACAGCACACACGCACACCCGTAGCACCTGCACAGCAGCAACCCGGGTTGCCATAGGATGGGCTTAGCTCTGCCTAGGGGAGGGGAAATCTGAGCTGCAGGGCCGGGAGGCTGGGTGAGAGGTGCTGGGGACACCACCTCACCTGTGTGGGTTCCCCTCGGTCCATTTTGTCTCCAGTGCCCAGCTGCCCGTATCTGTTATTTCCCTGCATGAAGATCCGGCCAAACTCATCCACCAGGCCAAGATGATTGTAGCCAAGAGCACAGAACAGGACCTAGGGAGGGGGAGACAGCACAAGAGGTGAGCAACTCCGCTCAGGAAACTCAGCCCCAGAACTGCGGCCCCTCCCTCCCCAGGTCCCCGCCCCGCCCACACCTATTCTTCAAACTCCTGGAGCCCAGCCCTGCTCTGTGCCAGCCTGAGCTGCCCTGCCGCCCCCCCCCCCCGAGGCAGCCCCCTACCTTGGCAGGCAGGGACAGAGCAAGCGGCATCTGATGGTCCAGGGGGTCAAAGGCTTGAAGGGTCCCAAAGAGATCACGATACACCCCTGGGGTGTGCACCTCAAAATACACTCCCCCCTGGTCTGGGGGGCCGGGAGCCCTCAGCTCAGCAGCTTTGGGCACCCATTTCCTAGGGATAAGGCCCCACCTGCGATGGCAAAAGCTCAAAGGTTGTGGGAAGTCTCATACAGTGACCACGTTGGCTCCGACTCCTGAGAGCCTCGCCAGTCACCAGGATGCCCTAACGGACGTCAGTGTGTGGACCAATCTGCCCGAGGAGAGAGGGATATAGTTCTTTCTTTTTCAAAATTTTTCCGTGTGTGTGACATGCGCACACAGGTATTGGCATGAGGCACAGCCTCCGTGCCGGAGTCAGAGGACAGCACTGTGTTGGTCCGTACCCGCCACCTTGTTTGAGCGAGGCCTCTTGCCGCTTTCATGCCCCACGCTCATGCCCACCCTGGCTGCCACGCGCGCACAGGGCTTCCCACAGCCTCCACCTTTGGGATTGCAGACACGTGCTGCCAGTTCCAGCTCTGTGGGTTCTGGGGACCCGAACTCACGCTCAGCCCTTACAGCAAGCACGCCCCCACAACCCGGATGCGCTTCTTACCCGTGATGTACAGGGTGCTGCTCTGATTGGAGGCCATGCAGGCCACGCGCAGGTGCGGCAGGCAACGGGACACCTTCCTGAGCGCCAGCTGCACCGTGTAAGAGCGCGGCTGGTCCAGCTGGGTCTCGTTCACCACCAGGGAGTAGATCTTCCCTTCCTCTGGGGGCAGGGAGGGGCACATGGTTACACAGAGGAGGGGGGCGGCGGCGGCCAGATAGCCGTCCCACGGGACGCTTGCCCTAGCGTAGAGCCGAGAGGAGAGGGCGGAGGGCCGGCCGGGTGGGTATGCTGTGAAAGCCCATGATCCCACGCCTGCACGCAACTGCTGGGGCCCAAGGTGGGAAGAGAAAATGATCCTGAGAGTTGTCCCCTGACCTCCACCTGTGCCCTGTGACATGTGCACGCGTGCACGCACGCACACGCAGACACACACACGGATAGACATGATAGAAAGCGTGGTCTTCTGCAGTTCAAGGACAGTGTGGTCTACATAGTAAGTTCTAAGCTAGGGAAGACAGCTACATAGTGAGACTCTGTCTTAACAATAACTAAAATAAGGAAGAAAAAAGAAAGGAAGAGAAAAGGGAAAAAGGAAAGGAAAGGATGGCTTCCAGCCCCCTGACCTCACCCTGAAAATGAAACAGGGAGGTGCGAAGCACCTAGAACTAGAGCTCAGTGGTTAGATGCTGCAGACTCTTAACCTGGGTGTCGGGAAGAATGTTGAGAAGAATGGAGCCTGGGCATTTAGGTCCCGCCTGGCATTCGGAAGTCCACAGGCTCCCAAGCTTGAGGAGGGTGCGCTCGGCCACATCGGACTGGGAGGGCTGAGGGGGTGAAGGGGAAGACCCTCCAGCAGAGGCGGGGAGATTAAAATCAGATGTGCGCTGCCGTGGTTTCCCAGCTACCTAAAAAGAGTGTTGTAACAGTGCGGGCTCGCCTGGCCCAGCGCATGCGGAAGTCGGAGGACAGCCTCGGGCCCGAGAAGGACCTTTATCTGAAATTCTATGCAGAATTCTAGAACTTCTGGGGGTGAGAGCTGGGGCAGGCAGCAGGCAGAACCCTCTCCGACAGGCCGCGCAGGTCCTGAGGTCGGCTGAGTTTGCAAAGCAGCGCTTCCCGGGTCACCTGTGAGGAGCAGGAGGGCCCGCTGCGTCTCCTGGCCGACCAGCACGATCTGCTTGAAGCTCATGGAGTGGTGGAACGTCATCTTGAAGACCCGCTGCCCGCTGGACTGCAGATAGACCTCCACACAGTCACAGGCCCGGCTGCCAGTGGCGCCCACCACCGCCGGCTGCTCCCGGGTGGCCAGGACATAGAGGTATTTGCGGTACACCGTGTCACATCGCGGGTCGGAGGCAAACTGCGGAGCAAAGACATCGCTGTCCGGACCGAAGGCCCTGAATGGGACGGGGCTAGAGCAGGCGGACCACTTGCTGGGGAATGAAGTGCTTTGGGTCCGAGGCTGAGAGATGAGAGCTTACTCAGGATTGGTGACCTAACTCCGTGGCAGAACGCTGGCCTAGCATGTGTGAGGTCCTGGGTTCAAATCCCAGCACCAAGAACCAAAAACAAAGCAAGCAAATCCAGAGCAATGCATGGCTGTCAGGCTCCTGAGGAGAGGGCGCATGCCCAGACACCCCTCCTTTAAGGGAGAGACCCCAGGACTGAGGCGCTCCTCGGAAGGTGGGTTCCCTACTCACATCCTTAGCGCCTCGACACAGCACCACATAGCGGCAGGCCCGCTTCCACTGGATCTGGCCGAGGGTGGACGACACCAGCGCGTTTTTGAGGAAGAAGAGAGTCCCCACGTAGTCGAGGATGAACACGTGGTCCTTCGTGGGTAAGAAGCGGCGGTAGCCGTGGGCCAGCATGGGGGCCACACTCTTGCTGAGACATCTGCGGCGCCCTCCGAATGCCTGGAAATACAGGCCCTTTGTATCTGAAGAACAGGAGGAGACGCTTTCAAGGCTGAGGCGACAAGGGCTAAGAGTCAGAGCTTGGGCAAGCTAGATGTTTCCCGACACCCTGGTATTCCATCTTCTTCCAGCCCAGGACTGAGGGACCAGGCCCCTCCGGGGGTGGCAGAGAACTCCCCACATCTGTCCTACCATCCCAGGGCCACAGCGCGCTCCTCAGCGAGCATGTTAGTCCAGCCTCGCAGCAGAGCACCATGGAAGTAGAAGAAACAGAAAAGAGGCAGGAGGAGAAAGATGGCCAACCCAGGGCGGCCATCTCCGCTCCTCTGCCGGCGGCCGTGCTCCCGGAGCAGCGTTCCCCACGTGTGTGCGAGTGTGTGGTAGGGCCTTTCGAAGGCAGAGTACTTTGGTCACTGTCTCTGAGCTGGGGGTGCTGTCCCTCGGGGACACTGGTGGTCAGAAGCAGGGAGGACAGCCACACGCCGGGGAATTAGCTCATCTCTGGCCGGGGACATGGCGCAGTGGTTAGGTCCACAAGCGTGAGACCACAGCTGAGAGGGAAATGCTGGATGGGCTTCTTGGCCCGTCGGTAATTCTGGCCTTGGAAGTGGGAGAGCTGGCTAGGTAGACGAGCTCCGCCTCTGCCTGTGAGAGCCCGCTGGCTGGAGGAAGGGGGCGGCAGGGGCGCACAGCTCCCGGGCCTGCTAGCCATGGTCCGGCCCTAACACGGCAAGCTCCGGGTTGTGTGAAAACCCAAGGCGGGGCTGGCAAGCATGGCACAGGGGTCAGGAGCCCTGGCTGCCCTTCCTTCCGGGGACCTGAGTCTGCTTCCCAGCTCCCACCTGGCAGTTCCGAACCATCTGTAACTCCAGGTCCAGACGCCCTCCTCTGGCCCACACGGGCACGGTGTGCGTGTGGCGCAGACATACATGCAGGCAAAGCACACAGACGCTCAAAATAAAGTAACTATGTAAAATACACTGTCAACCTCTGGCCTCCATATGCGACTCTACTAGCTGGTGCGCACGCGCACACACGCGCGCGGACACACACACACACACACACACACACATGCACGAAGGGTGACAGAGTTAACTCTGATTTAAGGGGGGAGCCACAGCCGGGGCACAAGTAGAGTTGTCTCTACGTGCAGGGCGCTGCGGCGGAACGGGGACGGAGCTGTGAGCGCCATCCCTGTCAGGGGTGGTCAGAGGACCCTGGAGGGGGTGCAGACAAACTCGGGCTGTGTCTGACACTAGCGACATCCTCCAGAGGAAAGGGGCAGCGTGACAGGGAAGGGTGATCCTAGCAGGAAGGGCCCCGACGGAGAGGAAGTTACTGAGAGGAAGTTACAGTTAAGGATGGCAGCTCTCTTCCAAGGCCGGGCACCAGAGCCCTGGTCTCGGAGGCGTGGGCTCAGGCTTCGACAGATGCGCCTCCACACGCCCTCGGCGTCACACACTTCGTGGAAGTAGTGGCAAGTCTGGCCCAGGGCCACAACGTCTTTGACTGGGAGGAAGGACACAATGTGCTCCACCTGCGAAGGGGGGGAGGGGTGGGGAGTCACAGGTTACCCTCAGCCTCGTGGTCTCCATCCTCGCCAGACTCCCAGGACTCACCAGCTCTGGGGGGAACAGCTGAACAGAAATAGGGTTCCCTCTTTCCTTCCTTTCACTCCCAGCCTCCAGGCCACAAGGGCAGCTGCGCTTCACCTGCCAGAGGAGAAAGGGGAACAGGGCTTCTGTGGGAGTCACACCGGCTTTTCTTCTCTGCTGTCCTACTCCTAAACTCCTGCCTTGGGGCTCACCAGACTCCAACTCTGTGCTAGCAAACCCAGCCCTCCCAGCTACCTCCGGGACCTCAGGCCATCACCCTCCGTTGCCTGCCTTCTTCCTTGACCTGTCCCCAGATTTGCTGTTGCCAGTCGGCTCCCTGCCCTTCCCTTGCCTTGCCACCCCCCTCACCCTGAGCCCCTCCTCCTGTCTGCACAGCCTGGTCAATTTTTGCAGCTTCTGTCTCCGGCTTCTCCTCACCATCCTGCCTGTCCCCTCCCTGCTCCTGCCCTCATCTCTCCAGGCCCCTTGGCTCCCCAGGCCCCAGGCCCCCGTCCCCGCTGCCTTTCCCACACCATGTCCCCAATCTGGGCTTGGGGGACCCCTAGGGACCTTGTATCATCTAGGCCCCACCCCCATGGAGTCTGGGGCACATAAACCTTTTTGTGACCTCACTGTCCAGCAACTGTGACCTATTCTCCTTAGCCTGACCCCCCAGAGCTGGCTTTTGGGTTCTAGCTCAGACATGGGTGCCAGAGGCCTCTCGGGATCCCAACAGTGAACTGCTGATTGCTGGTAAGCCCTTCCCCTTTAGGAAGTAGCGGTAGATTTCCTAACTTTTCATTTCGCCTCTGAAAACAACAACAACAGAACAAACTGGTGACTCCGCGTAGGTCCAGGCCTCCAGGGATTTGGCTCTCAAGAGCACAAAGCCAAGAACTGTAGGCATGGACCTAAGCTCAGTGGGTGGTGTGCTTGCCACTCTGGCACGGAACCCTGGGTCTGAGCCCCCGCACCAGGTGAAGCCCAACATGGTGCAAACTGGCAATCCCAGCCCTTAGGAAGGAGAAACCAGAGGAGGAGGAAAGATGTTCACGGTCCTTGCTGGCTACAGACCTTTTGAGGCCAGCCTGCATTACTGCATTATATGAGAGAGTGTCACAAAGTAACTGAAACTTTGACAATGACAGTGGAAAAAAGAGGACCCCACTCTAACTCCTGCTCACAAAGCCAAGACGCAAGTGTGAACAATGAGCACAAACTCCTCACAGTCTTGTTGAAAACAAGTCCAAAGTCACATGCTGCTTTCCTGGTCAGCAGTGGCATCTCTGCACATGCAAAGGACCAGCTGTTGAGGTATGGAACGCGTGGCTTTGCTCTGGAGTTTAGGTCTGTAGTGACGCCGCACAGGAGCAGCAGGGGAGAAGCAGGCAGAGAGTACAGCTCTCCCAGGAGCTCGGGACGTAAGCCCGCTAGACAACCATAAATGCCCAGCGTAAATGCCCATTCTCGGCCCGCTCTGGCCAGCTGCGCGGCACCCACTCTGACTCCGGCATCTGTGGTAACGAGGAGATGCAGCTCATTTGCAGGGCATCTGCTTAGCACATGGTGGCCTCGGATTCCACTTCTTACGGTAACTAGCGAATGATACTTTGGGAGGCTAAGAAGGAATTTTAACGATTAAAAAGATCATTATTATATTCGTGGTGTGCGCTATGGCAGACAGGCAGAGTCAGCTTGAGGCCGTTTTCTCACCTCCTAACCTGTGGGTTCTGAGAATGGAACATTCCCTTGTCCACTGAGCCATTTAGCCAGTCCAAATTTTAAGTGTTTCATTACTTATTTTTGAGACAGTCTCACTATGTAGCTCTGGCTGTCCTAGAACTCACTCTGTAGAGCAGGCTGGCCCCAAGCTCTCAGTGATCCACCTGCCTCTGCCTGGGATTAAAGGCATGAGTTGCTTTGTCCAGCTACTTTTTAAAGATTTACGATGTAAAACAAATTTGTGTGTTGGCTGCACACGTGTGTACCATATGAAAGCCTGGGTGCCGTGGAATTGGGAGTTTGGATGGTAGAAGGTGCCCTGTGGGTTCTGGGAAGCAAGCCTGGCGGTCCTCAGGGGCAGCAATTGCTGACCCTCCGAGCGCTCTCTCTTTAATGGTGTGCGCCTGCGTGTCTGTGTGGAGCCGCGGGCACTGGCGCGGTGCCTGCGGTGGCCAGAAGAGAGCGCTGGCGAGTGTGCGTGTGCGTCCCGTGCCCAGATCCAGGCTGCGGAGCCACTCTGTTAGCTGCTTTGAACAGAACAGAATCCTTCAACACCCAGTCTTGAGCACCTGAACGGCCTCCAGCCCCAGTCCTTGGTAATTTAGTAAGTGACGAGGCAGGGCAGGTATGACTCATGAGACGGTCAGGAAACACAGGAAGCAGGCTGGGGCTCTTCAGTCACTTCAAAGCCTTTTCAGCCGTCCGAGTGAGCCTGGCACCACGGTGCACCCCTGGAACCCGAGCACTCGAGCAGTGGCGACAGGAACAGCACGGGCTCACAGCAGTTCCCGGGCTACATAACCGGCTGGAGGTCAGCCAGGGCTGCATGAGATCTTGTTCAGAAAGCCCAGCCTCCCTCTTTCCTTTAAGCCACCATGCCACCCAGACAGAACAAGACTGGATTCCAGGGCTCCGGGAGCCACAGCTATTGCCACGTTGGTAAGTGCTGGAAGTGCCCAGGAGGGGCGGAGGGTGCTGGCAGCCAGCATGCCTCACCACTCTGGGAAAGTTTGTACAAGTCATTGCCACTAAACGAGGAACCAGAGCTTCTGCCCAACTGTCAACCCTGGTAAACGGTGGACACTGGTCACTGAGCGACACCGGTCAAGACTGGAGCTGCTCCCGTCACTGGTGTGGTGGGTCTGGGGCGAGGCAAGCTGGCCAAGGAGCCTGCCATTGCAGAGACCAAATTCCCCAGCACAAGAGTAAGGAGATTAAGGGTGTTGAGAAAAGCCACACAGGGAGGCTCATTAAATGCTAACGTTCTTTAAATGGTAAATAAACACAATTTTTAAAACATTATTTTACCACAGCTCGCATCTGGGATCCCTTTCTGTACTCCGTTTCATCTCAAGTAAATAAAAGTTTTCATTCTGAGCCCTGCTGCCCAGGCTGGCTGGAACCGGTCTCTAAATCCTGCCTCATCTGCCTCCTCTTCTCCAGGGCTGGCATGGCAGGCTCATGGCAGCCCACCCAGCTTTGATAAGAGGTTTCCAAAAGACAACGTCCATTATAAAAGCGTGGGGTCGGGTGGGGTGGGGGAGTCCCACATGGAGGCCTGCGATCTGCTCAGCGTCAGTTTCCTCTCAGCCGGGCGGTGGACAGAGATGCACGCCGTTAGTCCCGGCACTGGGGAGGCAGAGGCAGGCGGGTCTCGGAGTTCGAGGCCAGCCTGGTCTACACGGAGACACTGTCTCGAAAGACTAACAAAGCAGAAAACCACAAGGAAGGTCTTGTTCTAGGAGTTCATGAGATCCTTCGCAGTCTCTAAGATTTGGTCCGGGCACCACGCGTGTTCTCCGGGGGCTGCGGGGAGCTGGCCGGTCTTCCTTTCCCTGTGTGACCGCAACCCGGAGGGCGCTGGCCCGGGGCCTCCCTCGCCCGTTCCCACCTGCCGGACGCCGCCCCGCAGCGTGCGCAGCGAGCGCGCAGCAAGCGCCCGCTCCACCGCCCCTCCCCCCGGCCTCCGGTGCGGTTAAAGGACTACCTCCTCGGCCCCGCCGCTGGCAGACGGAGCCGCCCCGGGAGGCCGGGACGGGCTCTAATTGGTGGTCCTGGCAGTCGCTCGCCCGGAACTAGATTGCAATTGGTCTCGGTTGGACGAGGGGCCGACTCTCAGGCTTGCGGTCTCCGCCTCTCGGAGCCGCCGAAGCGGAGCGCCGTACGCCCCGCCTCCGGGCGGTCCTCATTGGCTCCCTCTCCAGCCTCGAGCGCTGTGATTGGATGTCGCTGCGCGGGGCGGGGCGGCCAGGAGCCGCGGCCGTTGGCGGGCGCGCAGCTCCTGCCCCGCCCGTCCCTGTGGGCGGTGCAGAGCCGAGAGGCTCCACCCCCCTGGCGTTTCCTGATTGGCCAGTTCTAACGCGTCTCCGGCTCGCGATTGGCCCGCGGGGTTCCTGACCCTCGCTTCCTCCCTCCAGAGGAGACTACGGCGGCTCCGAGGAGGGGAGGCCGGGAAGCGGCCGGTGCCCGTCAGTCAGGCAGCGGGAGCCGCCGGGAGCGGATGGCGGCGGCGGCGGCGGCCCTCGCCGCCGGGGGCGAGGAAGCTGCAGTCCCCGTGCCGGGGTCTCCTGCGCTCCCCGGGAGCCGCAGCGCAGAGCGAGCCCTAGAGGAGGCGGTGGCCACCGGGACCCTGAACTTGTCCAACCGGCGTTTGAAGCACTTCCCCCGGGGCGCGGCCCGCAGTTACGACCTGTCAGACATCACCCAGGCTGGTGAGTGGCCGGGAGGGGGGGTCCCGCCGGGCCGCGACCCTCATTTGCATAGCCCCGCCCCGCGCGGAGCCGGCCCGCCCCTCACCTGCCGTCCGGGCGCCCCGCTCTCGGCGAGCGCGGGGCCGCTCTGCCCTCGTTTGCACGGGCGCACCTGTAGCGGGGCCCCGCCCCTGGCCGGGTCTCCAGCCCCGGACCCGCCGGGTCCCCAAAGCAAGCCTCGGTTCAGTCCGGCCGCAGCGCTGCGCGAGCCACGCCTGTATTCGCCTCCGCCTCGCTCCTGCCCCTCCGTCAGCTACCCCTTCCCAAGGACTGGCCCCGGCAGCCCTCTCCGCCGCCCACCCCAGCGCGTCCGTGTGAAAGAAGTGACTTTCCATCCATTATCCCTGCCCCCTTTATCTTCTTCCTGCCTCTGCGAGGTCACTGGAGCCTGTGACCTCATAGGAACCCTAGAATTCTCCTTTCTCCCCTAGGGGAGGAACTTGAGGCAGCTTGCTGAAAGGAAGGAAACTGTATCTTTTAGCTAGGAGTGCTGACCTCTCCTAGTCCCCGCCCTCGGGATCTCTGCAGTCACGCCCCCTCCGCCCTGGTGTGTCGGGGGGACCCTCCAATCATGTGCCCTCTACCCTTGTGTCTCGGTGGCCAGGCCCTGGGGCCTCCCCTGACAGGTGAGTCAGGCTTCAGCTGCTTAGGAGGCAGCCTGTGCGCTTGGGCTGGCAGCTGAGGGTGGGACCACTCGGAGGACTGCGTTCCGGGAGCCCCGCCCCAGCCTGGGCCCCCCGCAGGGCTGATCAAAGAGCATGGTGCTCCAGCTCGGTGCTCCAGCAGGTGCCTACCTGCCGGCACACCCGCCGCTGGCGCCCGCCTGCCCTCCCTCGCAGCTCTGGGGAGAGAGAGCTTCAGTCCCTCTTTTTAAAACTTCTTTTCCCTGTACAGATGAGTGAGCCCCACCAGCCCTTCTTACCCCTCCCAGGGCCCCCCAGCCCCCGAGCGCCAGATTGACCTCAGCAGCTGTGTGGCACTGGCCGTCTGTTCCCTTTCCCCCCCCCCCCCCCCCCCCCCCCCCCCCCGGCCCCCTCTTCCCCTTCCCCCCCCCCCCCCCCCCCCCCCCCGCTTGTTTTTTGACAAAGACCAAATGTTTTTCTTTACTTCCTCAGGGCTCTGTCACAGTGAGTGGACTCTTGGGAAAACTGCAGAGCCCTCCCAGCCCCTCCCAGCTCCTCTGTCCCCACCCCGTCTCCTCCTCCCGCATTCCGGCCCCGGGGGCAGCAGGTGCCCCCCCCCCCCCCCCAGGTTCAAGTGTGTAGTAAGGTGGGAAATCCCCAACCTCCCGAAAGCCCCTCTCAGCCTTGGTCAGGCTTGGGTGCAGCCCAGGTTCTAGGCAGGTGGGTTGGGGGTTTCATTACTGTCCAGCTGCTTCTGTCTTGTCTCTCCAAACTGGGTGCTCCTAGCCTGGGAGAGAGTTCCAGTGACGACCTGTCCTCCCAATCTCCTTGCCTTCCCACACACACTATTGCTGGGCACCCCTGCTGCTTGCCGTCCTACCGGGATGCGCCCTCAGCAGAGGCCGGGGATTGTGTCCCCTTGGCCTGCTGGTAGAGACCTGGTTGGGGGAGGCCAGCTTCTGGCAAAGGAGAAGTGTTGATCGTTCTCCTCAGCCCACATCCTGTGCCCCTGAACCCTGCCTCCTCCAGCCTGGGCTCCTTCCGCCCCTGACTTCTGCCCCTGTGCCCCTTACCCGGCCCAGCTTGGTCTCCATCCCCATGAATGCACGCACGCACGCACGCGCGCGTGTGCACACACACACACACACACACACTGTGAGCACAAAGCAAACAGGCAGGTGCTGGGCTTGGGCAGGAGGACCAGATGCAGGCCTCCCACCCCCTCCGGAACTAGCTCTCATAGGGCAGGGGCAAAGAAGAACAGTGTGCGGGCCATCAGGCTGGTATCCCTTGGAAAACAGATCCTGCAGGCAGGTCACAACCCAATGGATTGTTTCTACTCTGTTTCCAGTCACAAGATACATTTCCTTGGGGGAATACTCCCCACTTCTCCTCTTAGCTTTTGCTCCCTACTGAAGGAAGGCCCTCAAGCTCACAATGGCCCTGGCCTGGGGTTTCCCCGAAAAGGCCCAGAAATCCCCACAGCAGGGTGACCTGAGCAAAGACAAACACAGGCTCTGGGGGTCTGTGGTCTGTGCCTCCCCCCTGGAGGAACCTAGGCCTCTGGAACTGCAGGAGTAGTGAGCCTCTGTTGAGATGGGGGGTAAAGGCCTCTCTCCTCGAGGTAAATGCAAAGACTTTGAAGCTGAGGCCAGCCGAGAGCAGAGAGGAAGTAGAGGAACGCTGCTGAGGGGGTGGGGGACAAGCCCGGGGACAAGGGAACCCTGGTGGGAAGGACCTTGAGTCCTCTGAGAGCTCTGTTCCAGCTCCGCCCTCTGCCTTTCTCTCCTAGACTTCCTGAAGCTAGATGGTTTTCCTGGAAAACTGGTCAAGCATTAGGGCTGTACTTAACCCCCAGAGCCAGGGCATCCTTGTTCTTGCTCTCTTGCCTGTGCTGAAACAGGCTGAAGCTGAGAGGAGGGCTCTCCCTGGGAGCCCCTGAGGTTTCTGTTAACCCTGCGGCTGCGATCACCTCACTGCTGTCTTCAGCCTCTCTTGCTGGGGTCACAGCCAGAGGTTTCTGTGTAGACCCAGTGCGTCGCAGCCAGCTCTGACCAGGCCTTTTTTCTTTTTGGTGGGGAGTGGGTAAGTGTACATGTGCGTGGAGGCCAGAGGGCATGTGGGGAATGCTGGGGTTTGAACTCAGGTCCTCAGGCTCTGTGCTGTCTTCCTCTCTAGCCTCCTCCCCCGCACACTGTTGCCTTGCAGTCATGGCCCCCTTTTCTGATCTCCCACCTTTCAGCTCTCCTGACATCTGAGAACACAGGGGCCACCGTGTTAGTGAGCCTTCCACACTGCTGGGAGAGCTCTTCGTTTGTCTTCCTCGAGGAGGTGGGACGGCCGGGCGCAGTCCTGAGCTCATTCTCCTCCCTCTGTGTTCTGATTGCCAGGCTTACGGGCATGAGCCGCCCGTACAATTTAAAGACTGTGATTATGAGCTGTCCGTACCCTCCCAAGTCTGGTCTTCTCCTCTCCGGTCATGCTTATAATGGGCTTCAACTTGTGGCAGAGAGCCCAGGCGTATGAACTGGCATGTGCATGCACGTGTGTGCGCACACCTGTGGAGGCTAGGGGTCAGTCTAAGCTTTTCTTCAGTTTCCATCACTTTGCTTGTTTGAGAGAGTCTAGTCAGTGACCTGGCCACCGAATGGCTAGCCCCAGGACCCATTTATCCTCGCCTCTCCAGTGGTGGGCTGCAGGCGGACCCTACCACACCCACTTTGTGGGTTCTGGGGGATCGAACCTGGGGCTTCCTTCATGTGTCACAGGTCTTTATCCGCTGAGTGCCTCAGCCAGCGGACGTAGGGAGCTGGGCGGCTGGGTGGGGGTGCTCAGTCCCCTCGTGCAAGGCTGGGCCTTTCCTTAGCTCCTCCCGCACCCTTCCTTCCCGCAGACTTGTCTCGGAACCGGTTTCCCGAGGTGCCCGAGGCAGCGTGCCAGCTGGTGTCCCTGGAAGGCCTGAGCCTCTACCACAATTGCCTGAGATGCCTGAACCCAGCCCTGGGGAATCTCACAGCCCTCACCTACCTCAACCTCAGGTAGTGGGGCTTGGTTGGTCAGGGGCTTAGTCGGTGCGCCGCAGAGACCCTGTATGCCCGAGTGGGCCTCCTGGTCCCTGGCCTGGGCCTGGTGCGGATGTCTGGCGTGGGGAGTGAGCTGCTGCCCTTCTCCCACCCACAGCCGGAATCAGCTGTCTTCACTGCCAGCCTACATCTGCCAGCTGCCCCTTCGAGTGCTGGTCGCCAGCAATAACAAGCTGGGAGCCCTGCCTCCAGACATCAGCGCCTTGGGGAGCCTGCGGCAGCTTGTGAGAATCAGGGCGGAGGGCCGGAAGAGGGGCTGTTGAGCCGGCCCCGGGGACTTTTGGGGATAGCTAGAATAGTAGGAACCCCTCTGGGGAAAGGCTTGGACGAAAGGCAAGTAGCCAGAGAGAAACGGGGGAGCGGTTTGGACCGCTGTGGCTGAGGGTCTTCTCTCACCAGGACGTGAGCAGCAATGAGCTGCAGTCCCTCCCTGCGGAGCTGTGCAGCCTCCGCTCCCTGCGGGACCTCAATGTTCGGAGGAACCAGCTCCGAGCCCTGCCTGATGGTAAGGAAAGTGCACTGGAGGGGTTAGGGTTAGGGTTGGCGGACACGTTTGTGTGTCTGCGTCTCTGTCCGCTCGGCTGCCGGAACACACGCGCCATACACTGCATACTCAGCAGCACGAGCGTTACTCACAGTTAGATCAGGGGCCTTGTGGTCAGGTGGCGTTAGGGCCCAAACCACAGTCTCAGTGTGCCCCCTCCACAGAGGCGGGAGAGATCCCGGCTCTCTGAGCTCCGTTTTACAGGGACGCTAATCCTCTCTGGACTCTGCCCTCATGACCCGAGGTGCCACCATAGGCCCCGCTTCTCAGTACCAGTCACTTTAAGGTTATGCCTTCAGCATAGAAAATGGGGCAGGTCCAGGAACACCTAATTTGAAATAATGCTTCTGCCTTGGAGAAGTCACAGGCAAGAAACCTTTAAAAAACAACCTTGCCTTAGTTGTTGAGGGATTTTCAGTATCTAAAGCAAACAGTAAGCAGTTGTGTTAGCTCCTGACCATGGCAACCCTCAGAGGCTGGGAAGGCAGTTGTCTTTTCACCTGTGTGGGAGCAGGAAAGAAGGGTAGGAGGGAGGGGTCGGGCACCGTAGAGTCCTGAGGCTGGAAGGGGCCATGAAGGCCCGCCCAGCACCTCCCCCTCTCCCCGCCCCCCCCCCCCCCCCCAGCCCCTCCCCCCCACCCAGCTCTGGAGCAACACTGCTCCCGTGATGCTCTTGAGCCTCCTCTGAGGACTCTGAACTGGGATGCGGTCCTGACATGAGTGCCCAGGCGGCCCTGCTCATGGGGGTAGCCGTGCCACACCAACAGTGATTTCAGCCAGCGTGGTTCTGGTGTGTGAGCGTCCTGTGTTTCAGGTGGGCCCTGATAGATGTGGCTGAGCTCGGAGCCCAACCCTCAGGTTTAGTGGCTCATGGAAGACGGCCAGCCATTCATAGGGCTGGCTAAAGCAGGAGGCTTGGGGCCTGTCAGGGGAGCCTGGGAAAGGCCAGCTCCCAGAGGCTCAGGCACAGCTGCCCATGGGAGCAGGATGCACACCATAGGCAAAGCCGGGGGGGGGGGGGCACCCATGATCTAGCACTAGAGTGAGGAGGCAGGAAGGGTGCGAACTTGTTACCCCTTTTCCCTGCCTCCTTCCGCCTTTTCTGCCTCTGACCTCTGCCTCCACAGTTAAGTGTCTTAACTTTCTGTGGCTGTAACAAAAGAACTGAAGCCAAGGAATTTTGTTTTGTTGAGTCGAGACCGGGCTCACAGGCATCTGCTTGCCTCTGCCTCCCAAGTGCTGGAATTTAAGGCATGCACCCCCTGGCTGGCTGGAATTTTGTTCTTGGAGAACAAAATTCTTGTTCTTGTAGTTCAGGCTGGCCTCCAGCTCAGCCGAGAATGGCCTGGACCCCCTGCTTCTCCTGCCTTTCCTTCTGGAGTGCGGAGTTCGGGGATTGCAGGCGTGTGCACTGTGCATGGCTGGAGTGCTTAGAGCCTCAGGGATCCCCATGTCAGCCCTCACCGGCTGAGCTGTATGCCCCGCACTTCTTTTTTGTTTGTTTGTTTTACTGTTTTTGGAGACAGAGTTTCTCTCTGTGTAGCCCTGACTGTCCTAGACTCGCTTTGTAGACAGGCTGGCCCGGAACTCACAGAGATTCGCCAGCCTCTGCCTCCCGTGTCTGGGGTCATAGGTGTGCGCCACCATGCCGGCTCCCAGCACTTCTCTTTTGTCGTTAGTGTCAGAGCCTCATTTTATCCCAGGCTGGCCTTTAACTCCTTTTGCCTGGGCCTCAGTGCTGGGGTTCTAAGTGGGAGCTAGCACTTGAGGCTTGAGGACCAAGTAACGTAGTTTTTTCATATTTATTAATCTATTGTGTCCACACATCTGTGTGTGCAAGTCTCACATGTCTGTGGGTGTCGAGGTGTTTGCACGTCAGCACAGAGCTAATGAAAAGCTGGCTTTGTAATAAGCCACTTCCTCAATGGTGCCGTAATCTAAGAGTCCATCCATGGAAGAGTGTCTTCATGTAGCCAGAGACTAGTGACCCGGTTCCCTCCTGAGGCCCCACCTCAGAGCACCATTACCAGGGACTTGGTGGTGAAGTATATTCCATCTGAGATCTAGGCAGAGCAGTAGGGGCACAAATGCAGGGAGCTCTGCCGGGCCATAACAGACCCAAGCAGAATGCTTTTGCGTGCAGGGGAACAAGAATTCCAAGACCCTGCGGTGTGTGGAGCATCCATAGATGGGGCAAAGCTTGAGAGACATGAGCTGGAGGATGAGCTTTCAAACTGATTGTGGTTCTGGAGGCTGGCCCTGAACTGTCTGCTTTTCTGCATACCGTACACACAGCTTTCCGGGCTGTGCGGGCTGTGTGGGATGGGAGGCTTTTGAGCACAAGTGTGGTTGCTTTGTGACTTGCGCTGTGCGCTTGAGTTTGTAGGATGGGGCCAAGGTGGGGGTGGCGGGAGAGGAGCACACGTAGGGCTGAGTGGGGAGTGATGGGGCCAGCCTGGGTAGAGGGCTGTGATGGAGATAGGGCTGGCTCGTGGTCAGAGCCCAGGCAAGGCTGCAGGCCTGGGCTTCTCCTGACTGTCCTCTTGCTCAACCCTAGAGCTGGGGGACCTTCCTCTGGTCCGCCTGGATTTCTCCTGTAACAGTGTCTCCCGAATCCCGGTCTCCTTCTGCCGCCTCAGGCACCTGCAGGTCGTTCTGCTGGATAGCAACCCCCTGCAGAGCCCCCCTGCGCAGGTAAGGGGCCGCCTGGCGGGCCTTAGGACAGGGTGCTGTTCTGGAACGTGGGGGGTGTCCAGTGGGCTTGGGGAGCCGCCTCATTCTTGGGTGTGCTTCTTCTGCAGATCTGCCTCAAGGGGAAGCTTCACATCGTCAAGTACTTAATGACGGAGGCTGGCCGGCGGGGAGCTGCCCTCGGGGACCTGGTCCCTTCCCGCCCCCCAAGTTTTAGTCCCTGGTAAGGGCCAGGGGAAGGAATCCCTTTCTTGGGACAGCGAACTCCCCTGGATTCCCGTGGGAGGGTAGGGGTGCTGCCAGCATGGGGCTGATCAGGTCCCCTGGCTGTCCCAGCCCTGCTGAAGATTTATTTCCCGGACGTCGATATGATGGCGGCCTGGACTCAGGCTTCCACAGCGTTGACAGTGGCAGCAAGAGGTGGTCAGGAAATGAGGTAAGGACCGTTGGAAGCACATTTGGGATGTCGCCGCTGGGAGGGAAACTTGGTCCTAGGGACCTTGTATCTAATATGCTGGTGTCTCAGTGAGAGGTCGTGGCCGGGGCATCTCCCCCCACGATCCCCAAGAGGCCAGCTCTCCACCAGTCTCAGGCTGGAGGCCTGGACCCATGTGGTTCTCAGCCCTGCAGGGAGCCCATGTCCCATCAGCCTCTCTGCCTTAAAGTCCACAGATGATTTTTCAGAGCTGTCGTTCCGCATCTCAGAGCTGGCACGGGAGCCCCGGGGGCCTAGACACCTTAGGGAAGATGGCTCTGGTGAGCAAGGGAGTCAGCCCAGGTAGTGATGGGTGAGTGTGGGCCAGAAGTCCCTCCTGCCCACTGATGTGCCCTGGCCGCAGGTGATGGAGACCTGGAGCAGATCGACTTTATTGACAGCCATGTTCCTGGGGACGAGGACGAGCAAAGTGCAGCCAAGGTGGGGCCCAGTTTGGCTCTGTCCAGGTGAAGGGTTGCTGAGGGGGAGTCAGTGCAAACTGGGGGCCAGGCCTGTCTTCAGCCTCTGCTCTCTCCTCAGGAGCAGCTGCCTTCTGAATTAAGCCTTGTAGCAGGGGATGTGGGGAGAGCGCCAAGCAGCAGGTATACAACCCCCAACACCACACCGTGGCCCCTGGGGCCCTCCTTCCCCTGACGGGTCTCTTGTCTGTCTTCTCCAGACGGGAGGAGCCTGCAGGGGAGGAGAGGCGGCGCCCTGACACTCTGCAGCTGTGGCAGGAGCGGGAGCGGCAGCAGCAGCAGAGTGTGGCGTGGGGACGCCCCAGGAAGGACAGGTGGGGGCGCAGGGCCGGGTGGGCTGGGCCCCTCAGACCCCTCAGGCGCGCGTCGCCCTCCATGTGCGGCCCGACTGCCCAGCTCACTCCTCCTCTTCCAGCGTCCTCAAGCGGGGGAGCAGGGCTGCTGGCACAGGCACTTCAGCCCCGGCCACCCAGGCTGCCTGCAGGTAGGTGTCCCCGGCACCCCGCTCCCTGCGCTTGCCTCGGAGCCTTCTCTGAGCCTTCTTTCCTCCTCAGTGGCCCACCGAAGTCCAGTGCTACCCACGTGGGGGCTTCAGGGGGCCAGGGAGCTCCCGCCCCGTCCCCCATCTCCCAGGACCCCCTTCCTGTATCTGGACCAGGTAGGGCAGTGTCTTTGGATGGTGGCTTGGAGGTGGTTGAGACATAGAGCCCTAGAAGAAGACTGGGCACTGAGGTGTCTCTCTTTCCCCCCAGTGACAGCTCCTGGTCCCAGGCCGCTGGGCTCCATTCAGAGACCAAACAGCTTCCTCTTCCGGTCCTCTTCTCAGAGTGGCTCCAGTGAGTGTCCGCCTCCCTCCCAGCACTGCCCTCAGGGCTCCTGCTCTGGGCTTGTGTCTGTCAGGGTGTTGTCTACAGACTGGGACGGTGTTGGCATCAGACTCGTAGAAGCTGGCTCCAGACTTTCTCGGAGAAACAGCTGTTCCCGCCCCCGTTCTTGCAGGCCCTTCCTCTCCAGAGTCTGTTCTGAGACCTCGGCCGTTTCCTCAGGCTCTAGATGAGAAGGAGCTAATGTCCCGACTTCGCCAGGTGAGCAGGCCCAGCATGGCACCTCCTCCCCCCTGCCCTCCTTAGAACCCACACCCCTGCAGCTCCTCCTTCCTGCCCTGGACTGGTCTCTGAGGAAGGGAAGGGGTGGAGTGAGTCCCTGCTGACCCCGCCTGCTCCCCCTGTCTGTGCTTGCAGGTCCTCGAGTCCCGGCTGCAGCAGCCCCTGCCTGAGGACCTGGCGGAGGCTCTTGCCAACGGGGTCATCCTCTGCCAGCTGGCCAATCAGCTGCGGCCCCGCTCCGTACCCTTCATTCACGTGCCCTCACCTGCTGTGGTAAGTGGGAGCCCAGAAGGAGCAAGAGGGCATGACGGGGTGGGACTGTGGCTTCACCTTTCCTAAATTCTTTCTCTGTCCGCCACCTTCAGCCAAAGCTCAGCGCCCTCAAGTCTCGGAAGAACGTGGAGAGCTTCTTAGAAGCCTGCCGGAAAATGGGTGTGCCTGAGGTATGGGCCCTCTGGGAGACGTTGGTTTCCAGGGCCTAGCTGACCACTGTGCATGAGGGGCGGGTTCCACCCACAGGGCCAGCGTTCCTGCAGGAAGCATGTGTCCTGGCCCTGGCCCTGGCCCTCACACCTGCCCTGCTCTCCCTCCTGTCCCTGTCCTGCATGTCTGCACGTTGGTACGGCGCTGGCTGTGGCCCTGCTTTGGGAGGGCCGGGGTGGGAAGGTCTGTGGCTTGCTGCTGCTGACGTCTGTTATTTTGTCCTGTCCATCTGCCCTGCCCTCCCTTCCTAGGCTGACCTGTGTGCGCCCTCGGATCTCCTCCGGGGCACCGCCCAGGGGCTGCGGACCATCCTCTCGGCTGTGGTCCTGGTGGGGGGCAAGGCCCCTGCCCCGGGCCAGCCGTCCTGTGGTCTGGGCGGCTTCCTGCTCTTCTACGTGGTCTCCATGCTGCTGCTCTATGTGGTCTACTCTCGGCTCCTGGGCTCGTAGGCCCGGCGCCCCTCCCCCGCCCTCTATTTATAAGAGCTATCTGATGTGTCCTGACCGGTGGTGCCTTCAGCCCCTACCAAAGACACTAGTGCCCCGCACAAACGCTGACCTCCGTGCCCTTTACCCCTAGCGCTGACGGTGACCTCGTGGCCTCCCACTAGCCCTCCATCCGGGAGGGATGACAGGACCGTGGCTTTTCCCCTCTCTCCTCCCTCCCCTACTGGCTGCTCCTCGGGAGCTAAATTATCTCTGTTTTGTAGAGAACTCTATTTGTAGGGGATGTGGCCCATTATGGGCGCTGGCTCTGTATATAAACTGTATAGACTGTCTCCTCCGTGTGTGCTGTGTGAGCTCCTGCTGCAGCCAGGCGTTGTCCGGCCTGGGCTCCGTGTGTCAGCCTGCCCGTGTAAGCCTTTCCCTTGGGAAATGACAGGCCTCTCCTGCCCAAGTCTCCCGTGTTGCCCGCTTCTGTCATCTGCCGGCAGCTTCCGTGTGTCATTTGTTCCCCGGCAGGGGCAGTATCCGGCAGGCGCCCGCACACCCCTCCCCTCTTAACCTTGCTCGGGGAAATGCCAAGGAGAAGCTTAACCCAGCCCCTCCCCCCAGGAGTCCCTGTGCCAGCCCCACCACATCCTGGAAGAGGAGGGGGCCCCTGGCAGGGGCCTCCCTCACGTCGCTGCTGTCCTCCACGCACTTCTGGAGCAGCCTTAGGGTAGAAGGTTGGTTCCCAGGGCGCCAGCCACACCGGACCTGCCCCGCCGATTAACAAGGACTTTGTGACCGCGGCCCCGTGTGGCGCTGGGCGTGGGCACCCCCTGCCCCCTTCGGGTGCAGCCTCCGGTCTGGGTGAAGATCGGTGTGTCAGACACAATAAAGAGACGCCCAAAGGCCCGTAGGTTGGCCCTCAGCTGTGTGCCTGTCTGTGAGCGCGCGAGCTTGGGGACCCCCCGGCTCCTCCGCTGCGTAGTCCTGTGCTGGGCAGAGGGGCTGCATGGGGGCTCTGCCACCAGGGGGCGCCCTTGAGGGCTTGGCGGGAGCGGGCACGTGGCTGGACTAGCGCAGGCGTCGTGGCGGCCCGCTGAGGTGGGCTAGGGCCTGGGCGCCCATGTAGTCAGGGCCGGGCAAGCGCGCGGAGGGCGCTGCCCGCTCCACAGCATGTTGCCCTGGCTGGGGCGGTGGGGCGCAGGCCAGGAGGAGGCGCCCGAAGAGCCGGGCCTCTCCCCAGGCAGTGCCCAGGCCTGGAGCTCCGGAGAGGAGGCCGCGGAGGAGCAAGAGGCGCCTGCGGAGGGCAGGTGAGAGCTTGGGGGCCCGGCGGGGGCGGAGGCCAGGCGGAGGCACGCCCGGAAGCCGAGCCGGGCCAGGCGCCGTCCTGCCCCGAGCCGAGGCCGTCCTGGAATGGGTAGCCCTCTCCTGCGCTAAGGAAGTCGGTGTTGGGAGGGGAGATGAGTGGGGAAGCCCTGCTTCCTTCTCAGCCCACCGCCCCAGGCCCTCAGCCCGCGCCAGGCCGGAAGGAAGCCGCCGCCCCCGGGTCACCTGGCTTCCGAGCAGAGCGCAGAGGCCGCAGGTAGGCTCGCTCGCCGGGCTGGCCGGGCTGGCCCCCAGCCTCGGGGTCCAGGGCCGGCCCCGATGCGTCCCCTTCCTCCGCAGCTCCTCATCCGCCCCAGCTGCTCTCCCAGGTGCCGCCCTCTCGGATGACCCCGCTGCCACGTTGGGGTCCCGGCCACCAGGCTGATGCAGGCCCTCAGCTGCTGGTGAGTGGGGGCCCCGGGGAGCCGAGGGCCCTCCGACAGCCGGGGCGCAGGAGCCTGTCGGCTCCACAGGGGCCCAGCCGCGGGCCAGGCTGGCCCTTGTCCAGCCGGACACTGTGTCATCCCTCCTGGCCTATGTACGACGCCTGCGGCAGGATCCCCACCCCGGGGCACCCAGAAGAGGAGCAGGTGTGCGCCGATTCAGGTCCTCCCGGCCCCTCAGCACAGCCGGGAGGTCGCTGGGAGGCCACCACGCCAGCCGGCTGCGCCCCCGCAGGGCTCCCGGCGCGGAGCTGTGAAGATGTCTTCTGCCTGGACCCTCTGCTTCCCTGCGGGCAGCGTGTCCCCCTGTACCTGTCCAAGCCCCCTCAGCAGGTAGGCGCGGGCTGCCCTTCATCTTCTCTTCTTTCCAACCCCCAGCCCTGAGGACACGCTTCCCTCCTCGTCCTCGCAGGCGGGGGGCGCGCGGAGGCTGCTGCTCCCACCTCCCATCATGTCGGCGGCCGTGCACCCCTCCTCGTCGCAGGCCTGCGCCTCCACGTGGCTCAGCGAGGCCGAGGTGATCGCCCTGGCCGGGCTGCTGCAGATGAGCCAGGGGGAGTCCTCGGCCAGCCCTCTGAGCCCCGCCGGCTGCCCGGACCCCGCCTCTGTGTCTGCGGACACGGGCCCCGGTGGTGGCCAGAGCTGTTCTGGAAGCGCCGACCCCTGTCTGACCCCGAGCCCCGACAACCACTGTGTGTAGTGCCCCGCCCCCCACAAGCGCTGTCTTCACCCCAGGTTGTTCTGTTGACAATAAAGCACCGTTAGTTTGCAAACCAGGCTCTGTGCAGTGGGTGACGGGGGCGTGGGACGCGGGGCGAAGGTGGTGGCCTGGGGCTCCATCACCTGGGGTGGGGAATCCACTGGGCCGAGACAGTTGGGGTGGAGAGCACCTTTAATGGGTCGGGTCCACGGTGTGGGACTGGGCCGCGCTCTAGGAAAGCAAGGGCTTGGCCAGCCCTGCCAGGCCCAGAGAAGGGTCGGGCAGCTGACTGGCAGCTGGGGACTCCGGAGAGGGCGGGTCCAAGCAGGTCATCAGCATCCCTGATGCTCCTCCCGCCGCTTTGGAGCTGGGACCTTAGGAGTTCCACTGTGGCTTGGAAAGGCCGGCTGAGCAGACACAGTGGCGTCTAGCTGCCAACGTGAGGGGACAGAGCCGTCCAGACTGGGCTGGGGTTTCACCATGGTCAGGCCACAGCTAGCTTGAGGCCGATTCTGTAGGAATCCAGTTGAGAAGGCCCAAAACTTTGCAAGGTTTGGGGTTTTATTTTGGGGGACGGGGCAGAGAGAGGCTTGTGTACTTTCAAAAGAGAGGGAAAAAAACCTTGAGAGAACTTCCTGAGTGTGTGTTGGGAAGGGACAGAGCAGGCAAGAGGGCGGCCGAGCGGCCCACGGGCCGGTGGCCTCGGGCGGCTGCGGCAGCTGGGACAGCAGGAGCCCTTCCCTCTAGAACTTGATGCTGGCGTAGCTGTGCGCGCTGCTCCCGGGGGCTGCCCCGGGCACCTCCAGGGGCGGGACGAGGTCCAGGTCCACGTAGTTGAGGCAGCTGTCCAGAGCCCCCGACGGAGCGCCGCTCCCCGCGCAGTCCGGGATGAACATGTAGTCCCCGAGCTCGGCGGGCCTGTCCCGGAGGCTGCGGCGCGCCCCGCGGCGCCCGCGCTCGGCCCCGAGCTCGCAGCGGAAGGGCCCCGGGAGGAGCCTGCTCATGGGCACGTACTCGGCGCTGTCACCGTCCTGGCGGGGCGGAGCGGGGTCCGGGGGCGCCATCCACATGTAGTCGCCGGCCTCCGCCCCCATGTGCACGTAGTCGTCCCTGACCCCCACGGCGAGGTAGTCGGCGCCGGGCGCCCCGCGGGAGGGCGCGGCCCCGAGGCCGTGCCGCCCCGGCCCCTCGGCCGGGGCCC